ACCACTACCACTACCACGATCACGACCACCACCCCCACCACCACCACGACGACAACAACTTTTTGTTGCTAGCCGCAGCTTCTGGCACTTCGACACCTTGTGCATTTATGAATGCTAAGCAACATGAGCGATGAGAAACAGTGAGCTTCAAGCTAGAACAAGACTAGGAACAGATGTCATCTTAGCAGCTACAGTACAGTACCGTACAGTACCTTACAATACAATCCAATACAACACGACACAGTACAACGGAATATAACACATATTGTGATGTCATGCAATATATATATATATATATAATTTTCTTAAAAATGTGTGCCCCTTCACCCGCCTGGAGAAGCCATCTCCGCTGACGCAAGCACCCTACGGATCCAAATGTAAGGCGTTATGCGAAGAAAGGTCACAGTGTGAGAGTGTGAAAATCATTCAAGTGGCGTTCATGCTTAGAGGATGCTAACTGACGGTCTTAGCTTTGTTTAGGGTGGGAACCGATGCGCACCTAATTACACTTCTTCCTTGAGCAGCGACAGGAAGCGCCGTTCACATCGACTAGGCAAACAAACAGAACTAGGCGTGATGAGCCCAGATCCTATGTCAATACCGTAGGCTTCCACCAGTTTTGTGTTGGTGTGAGCTCAACGCGGTCTGCTTGCATGCCGGCTGGTAAGTCCTACCTTAGCAGGAAATTTTACCCGTGGGATGTGCGCGATAATCAAATGGATGGCAATACAAACGGAACAGCTAGCCTGCGCAGCACATGCACCAAGTAAGCACAAGAGATCATCTTCCCCACACCGGTGCAGTTGCAAGCTGAGCTCCGTCCTGTGAGCGATCCAGGTGCCACTTGCCCATACCTGACATCCACATGCAAGGGCCCATGGACCCTTCGTAAACCTAAGCTTGCTCTGAGCAGCGGGCTTCGAGGCTTGGGACTTGGGGCCGCAAAGAAAGTCCAAGCCTCTGGCCTGACTTTTCGAAATGCCTCCACTGGCCGACTGAATGGTTTCTTCGTCTTCGTTCGCTTCCCCGGAGCTAGTCACGGGTCGACAAAAAAAGAGCTAGGTAGACTTAGCCCCAGGATACTCAAAGACTGCATCCCTACGTTTCCCACTCCTGCTCTCCTCGAGGACATGGAGGGCTTGAGTTGTGCTTCTTAGGCCTCCGGGCCTTGAACGCACCATGCGCTCCAGAAAAATACTTTAGAGGCCTTAACAATTAGAATAGGGTTTGGGGGTATCTTATACTAGAATAACAATACAACCCCCCCAAAATGTTATAGGCATCGTAATTATTAAGGCCCCTACTGGCAAACGAGTTGCAACAATAAGTGATGGCTGGCGTGATAGTAGTAACAATCAGTGATTCACAAAACTTGATGAAGACCAGAGTACAGCACTATCGTATCACCAATCCTGGCTTCAGTCGTAAAGAAATGCCCGCCCAAGACATGGCAACCACCTCAGAATGGGGTTGCTCCAAAACGCGGCTTCCCTTGACCAGGCTTTCTGAGCCCTAGGGTTATATACCGTTCGTTACACCTTCAAAAAACGGGTCCCTTGTCGCTCATCCCCCAGGGAGCCTCGGGAGGTAACGGCGCTACCGTCCTTCTGCAAGGTGATGACGTCTTCACTGGCAGCAGATGGGGTTTAGGATTTTTTAGGCTTTCAGCACTCACACTCGGATTTGTAGGGAAGAAGGTTTAGAGGAGTTTTCTCGTGCCTGTGGGCTTTGGAGTTGGTTTCTCGGCTGGATAACGTTCTTGACTGTTGATGAGAGCGAAGAGGTTCCCTTGCTTCGGGCTCCGGTCTGAGATTCGGGGCTGCTGCGGCGATGACACCTGAAGCTCACAGAGCCTGTCTTGACATGCGAGTCCTGAACTGCTTTAGGGGTAGACCATGAGGCCCTGCAAGCAGTGCGTCGAAGACAAAGGTATCGAAACTCCCCGCAGTGCCACGATTGCAAAGAAGTTGGTAGAAGAGTCTTAAACAGCAGCATGCCATACAACAACAAGCGTCCTTTGTGTGGCGCTGCGAAACTGGCCGGCAAAATGTGATGAAAGCCGGCCGGGCCTCTCCCACAAGTTCGAATGGAACCAGGCGTACCTTACAACGAGCATGATGCTAAGGGGGCTTTGTGGTGCTGTGGTAACTTTACTGTATCCTAGTTACTGAGGTTCCTGGGCCCCCCAAACAAAGCTGAACCTTGACAACTCAACTACAGTAGGGAAAGATGTGCCTCAAAGGATGAGCTGTAAAGGTTACCTGCTTTGTTGAGATAATAAGCACGACAAGACTATAGGGGGCTAGAATTATTCCCAATGCCCATCCCTTGGGTTCGGAAGTATTCAACATTCCATGATGCACCGCCCCTATACTGAAACCCTTTCAAGTTCATCGGGTGGGTCCAGGCCAACTATGTCGGACTCTTAAAATCAGGTTTCTGGCTGCTGCGCATTTTCAGCAGTGTTACGGGCAGGCAGTGCTGCTACAGGTATCAGCACGATTCCTGATGCAAGTAATATTGCTGTTGCTGCTACGGCCTATATGCTACAGCTAATGCCACTAGTTTTATGATTTTCGTTGCTATTGCTGTCGCTATTACAAAAATCTTATCAATTTTGCTATTATTGTGGGTATAACTGCGACCATGTTGCTATCAGTATTGACCCTTACCATTATCATTATAGTCAATACACTCTTGTTATGACAAGTTATTACTCTACTTGTCAGTGTCATCTTCATTGTCTTCCTGACCGCCGACATTCCCTGACAAAACCAGGCATACTCACGAAGTTGGCAGGAAGTAAATTCATGATGTGTAGGTTTTCTGAGGCACAGGCCACTTTCCAAAAGCGTTCTCGAACGCTCTGCTTGCAGTCCTGTTATGCCTTCGGTGAGCTATGCTGGCATTTCCATCCTTGGTCAGGCAGCTGCTGTGACGCACTTGGGCACGTGCAGGCGTGTGACTTCACACACCACACCCTCCCAACCTCAGCAAGTCTTTCCATCCTTTTCTTGCTTGAGCAACTTTAGCAGCCATGCCAGCATACTGTAGCGGTTGATGCAGTCAACCCCGCAGTCATTTGGGCATCTACGTAACCCTGGTGCGAACCGCGAACCCACCCCAAGATGGTGTACAGTCTCGGCATCAGGCTCTGGATCACCTGTCCAAGAAAAGAAAGGGTGGTTTCGAGTTAACTACGCCAAGGCCCTAGGCTTCAAAGCCCTGAAGGTCTATGCAGGTTTCCAAGCAGCATCTCAAGATTCGACTTTAGCAACCTGATCCGCGAAACGCCAGCTCCACAACCCAAAATGCTCGAAACCCACAACTTTCATATCCAGATCCAAAGCAGAACCCGGTAGCACTACAACCGGGCCATAGGGGTGAGAGCTAGATTGGGCTGCTGGGATCAGGTCACTTCTTTGGGCAAAAGAGCTATATCCTGATACAGGGGTCTTTGGCTCAGTGTACCAAGAAGTCTTTGACATTTGGCTCTAGAAGCAAGAGTGCTGCGAAGCAAACCTACCATCTTCTGCACAATCTTCGTCTAGTCGGACTCTTGAAGCAACAGGGCTTTCGGGCCTAAATACCAATTTGTGTACGGTCTTTGGCTCCAGCCAGCCCTGTGAAGTTCAAGGGTCTCGCGGCCCGAAATGCCCCTTTTCTAGAGGTCTTGGGGTTTCAAATGTCGGAGGAGGGATTCCGTAGCATGTCTAGGGGCCCTTCAAGCAGTGTCATGGAGCCTTAACACCATATTAAAAAAAAAACTGTCCTTGGGTCTCTTTGTGGCTCGAATACCATGTTCTATATGGTCTTGGGGCTACTTGCACCCTTCAGCAGCAACAGTGCCTTTTGGGTCTGTCTGGGCCCTGAAATGCCTCTTCCCGAAAATCTGGGCCAGCTGCCGCCACAGAATGGCACAAGCAGGAAGGCATTGGAGCGGCATTGTCAAATCCCATGCAGTTTACACCATGCCTTGAACGTCAACCTTCCGAGTAATGACTTGGGCGGTTCTGAAGGACGACCTTCTTTCTGGAGGAATTGGATGGCCCTCTTGACTGCCCATGAGCGACTCCTGGGAATCCAAAAAGCGCCAAAACTTCACTCTTACTCATGGCTCATGGCTAAGTTACTATCACTTACAGCAGCAAATAATGGTTATGAAAGGCTTTTTTCAAACGGTCGAAGACAATAACATGAAGAAAACAACTGAACATCTGCAACTCGTGACTTCGAGCTGAGATACGTTTCGTCGTCCCTGGTATTGACAAAGTAGTTGGTCCAATCCTTGACCTGCTCCAAGCTTGGATGATGGGCTGTAGTCAGGAGCGAAAGTGCCTCTTCCTCTCCCTCACCGTACATACCTTCCTGGCTGCCAATGTAACTTGACAAGGCCTTGAACTCTTCCACAGTTGGATGTGGTTCTGTTGTCAACATTTCAATAATGCGGTCATCGGTACGATAACCATGCAACAAACCTTTCCAGATCTTGAACTCTTCAAAGGTTGGATGATCTTTGTTGAGAACATCGAGGGTTTTTTGGGTTACCTGCTGGGTCTTGCCCCAGCCGTAGTCACCTTCATTGCAGAAGTAGTCTGACCAAGCCGCGAACTCTTCAAAGTTTGGATGATCTTCGGCGAGAAGAATCTCCAAGGCATGCGAAGTTGCGAATCCACGGAAGAAGGAGCCACCACAATGATGGAGGAAGTAATTGGACCAGGTCCGCAGGTCCTTCAGGCTTGGATGCCTGTCCTTTCCCAGAACATTAAGGGCTTCATCGAAGGCATCTGCCATCTTCATATCCCCACCGTTCTCACTGTGCAAGTAGCTCGTCCAGGTCTTGACATCTTCCAAGCTTGGATGATCCTTTGCAAGAGTTTCAAGGGCTTTGGCTCTTGCTTCCGCGGAAGGCTCGATGTTGACAACGTTGTAGATGTAGTCAAACCAGGACTTGAACTCCTCAACTGTCGGATGCCCCGGTTCCAAGGGGCCGGGCTGCTTTATTCTCTCCCCGAGGCTTTGAGAACTCTGAACTGTGAGAACGAGCCAAATGACGGATAGGGCCATGGCAATCTCGTCCTGTGGATTTTGTAGGCAACGACTAACGCTGGAACCAAGCTACACGGAGAAATCAACGCTTGCCAAGGAACATCAAAAATGGTTTGTGAAGTTCTGATTTGAGTGTATGAAATCACAATCGTTGACATTGAACCCCCGCAAGCGATGCGGCGTGTGACACGGCACTTAGGTATCCTCAACAAGTAAAACTTAAAGGTTACCTACACTAGCAGGCCTCATTCTTGAAGCTCCACGGGGGTCGATTGCCGACCTGGGCAAAGGTCGTGGCGTCTTCAAAACGCCACTGAGTGGCTATGGAAAGTAGTTGGAGCTTCCTTTCACAACTCATGGAACTATTTGGGTTCTCTAAATGAGGGTTCCTTTTTGGTCCCCAAAATAGGACGGCACCCCTAGAAACAGGACCCTACAAGGGATCCTAATCTGGAGAACTACCCCCTTGACTTCCAGGAAACTTGTTTGTGGGCTTGTTTCACGCACAAATCCACACAGCTTCGATCATCCTCGACTTCCTGTGGGCCCCTGAAGCCTGACCAAAACCTGGGCTTTGTGGCGCGCAGCTTTTCTCGCCGGATGCCCGCGCCTCGAATTTTTCATAGCTCACTTCCCCCCGACCTCCTTAAACCCTAAACCCTAGACCCTAAAAGAACGAGGGAACCTCACGTCTTCCGCGGGGGATTGGGGAAGGGTGGGAAGGGTTCGGAGCTCGGCTTGGGAGGTGCAGGCGGTGGGCCGGGTGGCGACTGCGCCCGCGGGCGCGGCTGCGGTGGAGCAGGGCCTTTCGGGGGCATGGCCGGTGGTGGTGGAGGGCCCGGCGTCTGAGAAGTCTCAGGGGCAGCCTGCTCTGTTTTCTGTGGTCGCGGAGGAGGTTGAGGGGTGGAGGGCCAAGAAGGGTCAGGCTTTCGAGTATCCTCTGCTGGTGCCTCTGGCTTCACCGAGAACTCCTCCTCATCCTCCTCAGGACCTGGCAAGGACGAAAGCTGAAGAACTTGCGCTCACCCTGCCCGACCTGAATACTGAAGCTCCTTCTGAACCCGACCTTGGGTTTAGGGTTCCTAAACCCTATAAAACCCTAGACCCTATAGGGTTTCAGACCTTGCATGTAGTACTTCTCGTCTTCTGGATCCAGCCATTCCGTCGGCTCTTCCTGCAACTTCTTCCGCATGTAATCCTGGGACTGCACAGGCGTACGAAACTCAGGGGCCCTAAACCCTAACCCTAAACCGAGTCCAGGCTTATCGTTTCTTGTCGGAATGCAAAACACAGCAAAACTACTACGAGCCCCTTAGGTAGCGTCCTCTCTTTCCACTGCGCCCCGCAATGATCTCCACTCGTAGTACGGGACATGCAACACCTTGTACCCCATCCTTGTGAGAAGTCGGTGCTTCAGCTTTGTGTACGCAGTGTAGCGCTTAGAATTGGCATAGAAATGGGACGGCCCATCCACTTCAATAGCAATGGGCCGGTCTTCCCCTGTAGGAACGTTGCCATCCTCGTCTGCTAGGGGACCACTCAGTCGCCTCACAAGACATGCAAGAGTGCAAGCACAATCTCTGCATTGCACAACTCTTTCCTGCAGTATCTCCGCGTGTACATCAAACGCAGGACCGTACATATTTGTGTATGTTCCGGAACACAAGCACAGAGGCCGTGTGCATACATGAAGTGATCTACAAGAATGCGTGTATATGTCATCCTCATCTTCGCCATCGTCGTCACCATCATCACCACCATCATCATCATCATCACCCTTCCCCTCCTCATCCTCGAATCCTGCCCCCTCCTGATCCGCCTGATCCTCCTGATCCTCCTCCGCATCATCACCATCACCATCACCATCATCATCATCATCATAGCCTCTTTTTATTGTTATGGGTGCCATGTGTATATGTATATACACACATCACATAAAAGTCTATGTAGGTACAGGCATGCGCATCAAGATGTGTGTGTGTGTGCGCGTGTGTGTCTATCATCTCGCTGGGACGCTGCTGACCTGGCCTTATCTTAGTCCTGCACGAAAGGGGCAGTCGACACCAGGTAATATAGGGGACTTCATATCTAGACTCGGGCGATTGTGTTTCAGGGCTGTACAGGCCTGCGATACTTACAGCTGCTCAAGGCCCCATATCCTCAACCCCAAACCCGAAACCCCAAGGCCCAAACCCTACACCCTAAACCTTCAACCCTAAACCCCACAAGAAGTTTCCAAAGTCGTCTCGGGGCCTGGTGAGGTCCTTGATGATTTCGTCCTTCTCCTGCTTCTCTGCCTCTGTCAAGACCTGGCTTAGGGCTTACACTCTCGCAACTCGGACAAGCCAGGCGAGGATCCATAAGTTCAAGTCGGCGTGATACACAATGTCTTGCTAGCTTTGGGTAAGCTGCACAATGAAACGGTCTTTAGAATTATAACAGGCCTTTGGGTATACTATGGTATACTAAAAGAAGAATCTCATGTAAACAAGGCCCTGGGGTACATTCTAATATGATATGGTGAAGGCAATCCCAACAGCTGCTGTAGCCCAAGTATCTCGTGGCTTGGACCACACAGGCGGGCCCCCCACTCCCGAAAAGCCTGACATAGCCAACTATCCGCAAGACTCGTAAAGCCTTATCATGTATATGGTACATATGAGACCCTGCCTCTCGTTACACCCAGGATACCAAACCAAAAGACACCTGCACGCGCTTCTCAAGCCCGAACTCCGCAAGACAGAAACCTACCCTGTTCCGAAACCCCAGGCCGGACACTCCCGAGCAGACCATGATGACGAGTAGGACCAGCCGAACTTAGGGAAACACCCTAAACCCTAAACCCTCTTACCTAAACCAAGTGTCACAAAGACCCTCGGGTACTGGTTGCCCGAGCCTCCTCCCCTCCATCGAGAAGACGCTGGCGATACACTTTCGGAGCTTCGGATTTCCTTGGAGCTTCTTTGGAGCACAGAGCTGCGATGTTGGAGGGTCAGGGAGGGTCTGAGGTTTAAGCGGTTGAGAGGCTTTGGTTTCAGCTCAGGTCTCTGCTTGTCGCTTTTTTGGCAAATTTGGGCATGGAGCCAGGCGCCTGGAGACTGCGGGCTTTGCGATATTTTTTCTTGGGTTTAGGACAGCTCAGGGTGTACTGAAGTCGGAGTCTGGGGAATTGGATTCAAGCGCGTCTTGTTCTGGTTGGCTTGAGGCTTAATCCTTCTGCAGCCCGATTGCTTCCAGAGTGACATAGGGCCATACAGTAGGGGCCTAGGAGGGGTATGACTGTTGATGCTTTTGGTGCTTCATGAGATGGTACGTACACATGGCAGTTAGCACAGTTAGTAAAGGTACCATCCGCACCAATGCAGTCTCAGAACTGACGCTGCCAAGACATTAGAGCCCCCCAAACCCTAAATCCTAACCCTCACCCCCCCCCCCCCCCCCCAAATTCATGCGAACCAGGCGCGGAGGTCCCGGCGCTGGCGGAGGAACTCAGGGCACACGGTTTGACTTAAGGCTTTAGGGGCGTTTAGGGTGGCGAGTACTACAAGGGTTGCGGCTACTGTGGTTTCAGGCTGCGTTCTTAGGGTGGAGCGGCTAGGGTTTACAGAATCTGATTTTGGACGTTCCGGGGAGGTGGCATGTGTGGTTTACAGCCGGAAACAAGGGGTCTTAAGAATAGCTTTGATAATGAGACTAGGGTTTCGGGGGTATTTTATACTATACATCTATGAATCTATCGAGGAATCGTGGAACTTTAAGGAATAGTTTTAGCAAGTACTCTGGCCTCTCCTCCCTCTTCGGGCTGTTGCTTTGGGGCTCTTTGGCATGTTCTTCGGTCTGAGGGCGACCAAGACTGCCGTGCATGATCGGAAAGCTTCAACATTTAGGAATGGCTTTAGCGGAATGTTTGCTCTAGAGTTATAAAGGGTCCATATATAAGGGGATGCGATTGCTGATTCCCGAAACTCCTGGAACTCTGAACTTGAAACACCCTGCAACCCTCCAAACTAAATCCAAGGAAGAATCCCAAATCCAGTTAACCTGAAGCCTAAACCCTAAACCCCTAAACCCTAAACCCCTAAACCCCTATTATAAACCCTAAACCCCTAAACCCTAAACCCGTAAACCCGTAAACCCTACACCCCCTAAACCCCTAAACCCTAAACCGCTAAACGGCGAGAGCCCAGTGGCCCGGAGCAGCCGCCAGGTTCCGAAGGAGCAGCGTCTTGGCAAAGCGCCGACAGAAGACCCGGCGCCAGCTCAGTGCCATGGCAAGAAGCTTCGAGAAAGAAAGCTCCTGTTCCCAGAGAACCCAAAATACCCCTTAATTAAGGAATAAAGAAAGGCCTTAAATCATATAAGATTAAGGCCCCTAGAATTTAAGGCTCTGGGTTCTAGGATGTAAGACCTATCCGAAGCTGTAGGTCTCCAGGTTCGAAGCTTTGTGGGCCTTGCAGCAGCTCTAGGAGACTTCTGGGTCCTGAGCGGCTTGGGGTTTGGTGGCTTTTTGTCAGAGCGTCCCCTCAGTGTCTGTAGAGACATCTCATCTCTCTGACTAGTTGGACCATATAGTATATATTTTATATGCTATACATTATATATATATATATATAATTTTCTATTGTTTATAATATATATATATATTATATAGATAGATGTCCCTGAACCCTGACAGCTTTTTGAGCTCGGGAGGGGTCGAGAGTGGGACTCTTCGTTGCCTTCCTGCAAGCCAAGGCCGGGAAGCGACAATGAGGGTTCGTTTAAAAACTAGGGTTTAGGGTTTAGGGTTTAGGGTGTTAAACCGAATTCAGACATACTAGTGTACATCTGGGCGCATACCTTGGGGGCCCTTGGGATGGGAGGCTTCGTCGCCGTCGCTGTGCAGAGTCACCATCACTGCCACACAACGTCATGGCCGTTATCATGATGACCTGATGGCTATATCGCACTCATCAGCACTGTCGCCATCGATCAGAGCCATGACCCGCATCTCACGCATCTTTCACCATCAACATCAGCAGCAGGACAGACGATGAAGCAGAAGGATTGATCTCTGCGCTCAGCCTTACCCTGACTCCAAGACTGTCGGGACGCCAAGCTCTACCTGCTCGCTGGGTGATTCTGAGAGTCAGATTCACAGAGATGTCTCTAGAGGCCTAAGCAGAATAGAATAATTATGGGTATTAATTAGGGCTTAGGGGCCTAAGCAGAATAGAAGAATGACGAACTTAATTAGGTTTTAGGAGTCAGATTTCAAACCCTAAACCCTAAGCCCTAAACCAAACGATACCTGAGGAAGCCTAGGCCTCAGCATTAATACTGATAGGCCCGGGACGCCACCGAGGACTCGCAAGTCGCCGGCTTGAACAAACTCTCTAATGGCCTGGCAGCTGCAGGCAGGGAGGGTTTAGGGTTTAGGGTTTAGGGACGGCTACAGGAACTTGTAAGCAGTTTCTGGAAACGGGAATATCGGTGAAGATGCGTCGTGCGCCCAAAGCATTCTGGACGCAACGGACAGTGTTGCCACTCTTGCCGGTCCTCTGTGAGCCCGACCCAGCAAGGACAAAAGAGGAGGACCCAAAAGGTTGCCTAACTTCGGAAAAGGTGACCTTGAGGGCACTATCATGAAACCGCACAGTCAACCGCTGTATCTCCATCGAGGGCGCACCCGAGCCACGCCACTGTTCGTGCCGAAATCATCGTAGATTAAGTATTTCAAGTGCCTGCCATCGAGCGAGGATGTCGTTCGTAGCGGTGACATGCACATGGGGGGGTGGTCTCAATGTGCATGAGTGTTTTGGCTGTCGGACCACTATTTCGCTGCGGAGCTACGGTTCTGGCAAATGACAACACGACATAGGGCCTTTATAACGAGAATAAGGTTTTGGAGGGTCTCGAGTACATTGACTCAACTAGGGGAATTGTATGACCCTGTATTTCGCGCCCTATAGTGTGCCACCAAGTTGGAGGCTTAATATAGGGCCTTGAGATTTGGGCTCCCGCGCCGCAAGCCAAAGCAAGTCTCCAAGTCGGACATACGATCACGGACTACGAGCAAGGACTACAAGCAAGTAAAAGACTTTTCTGCCGCGTGAGATGATAACATGATGGCCCGAAGCTCTTCACCGATTTTCTCCCTCCGAGCAGGGGGCTGCACGAAAATGCGGCCAGGTCGAGGGAGGATATCTCAAACACAGAGCGGCCTTTGAAGACTTGTAAGCTTAGGCACCTTCAGTCTGCCTCTGAAACCGGCTTGTAGTAGGAATGACAAACTGCCGTGTACTCTTTGCCCACTCTGCGTTGGGGATGTCATCCGGAGACTCGGGGGTACAGGAGTCCATGGGTAGGTGATCATGTCAGTCTTGGTTAAACATTCAAGGTAACACCCCTCTGACTGTCGCACAAGGGCTCTGGCTTGTGGAGACATGGTCTTTCAGTTGGTCAAACTCCGAAAAACATGTCGCGATGCCCGGAGGCTGGGATTTGGGAAACAGCCTCCAAGCCAAAGCCATAGGCGCTTGCGATGCCGGGTAGGCGTCTTCCGCACTCGCCCGGTGCTGTTGTTGCCGTGGGTGCTTCAGTTCTCTTCGTTCCGATAGAACGAACATCTACACAGTACACCTGTAATTGCCTGTAATCCTTGAAGCACCAACAGTGCAGCACGTAACAGTTCCCTAGTTTCGTGGGCATCGCAACTCCACCGGCCGGAAAGCTATGCTGTCACAAGCGTGTCAGGCTTGCGATGGCGAGGCACCATGACGATTCTTTCTTCTACGCCCACACCAGAATCACAAAAAGCCATCAAGCTTCTTTCAACTACCACGTCCTGGTAAGCTTCCCGGCTGGTGTCGAAAGAACCGAATTTCAACTGGCAAAGCCAAGTGCAGAAAGCTCGTCAGTTGAGCCGACCACCTCACCTTCACCGGTTTTAGGGTCCCAAACCCGGAAGAAAAAGCCAGTACAACACCCCTTTCTGGGAGATGTCACAGGCAGGTCAGCTTGCATGCGAGTCATCGGATCATGGCTGCCAGTTTAGGGTCTGCGGCCACAGAGATATTGAGGCCCCTATACCCTTGTTACCGCGCAGAGCCTTCGAGGCTTCCCTCGGGCAGTCACGGCGCGAGGGTGACGCGTGATGGGTTCATGCTCAGCAAGGATCTTGCGTGGAAATCCGCGAGCTCAGCTGACACAGAGAACCTTGTAGATGCTGAAGCCAACTCTCTTATCAAAAACTCTCCGAAAGATCCAGCCCGCGACTCCCCTCATTTAGCTGCTTAAGCAGGGCTGACAAAACGGCTTCGTGGTCGGGTATGGGCTTCAGATCTTGGTACAGCGGGCTCGTCGCTAAGCCGACGAGATTTCAGGATCCCAGATCGTAGGTCAACGCAGTGCGCCCTGCCAAAGCGGCTTTGAACATGCCCACGCCCTTGCGCGGGATCCCAAAAGGTTCCTTAAAGAAGGTGGTCTAGGAGCTAAATCGCCAAGGCTGAGTCTGCAATCTCTGAAGGGCTGGGGCTTCGCTTTGGGTTTCAGGGTACGGTTTACAGTTTACGGTTTAGGGTTCAGGTCATTCTGCCCATGGACGCCTTGAGGACTACAAAATCTTGCCCATGCAAGTTCAGACAGAAGGCATTTCAAGGCTTCTCTGGCCATACCTTCGTGTCCGGTAGTGTCTCCAACAAAAAAATGGGCTGCCGGGCTGAGCCCGCGTTTTGGGGTTTAGGGTTTACTAGGGTTTTAGGGTTTAGGGGTTTAGGGTTTTAGAGTTTAGGGTTTAGGGGTTGAGGGTTTAGGGAATCAGGGATTAGCCGAGTAAGCTTTCGCTTCTGGAAGAATCCCTGACCCCTTCGTGCCCAGTGCTCGCGCAGGACTCACGTTAACTTTCAACCATAGCAACTATCCCTTAACAAAATAGTTAAACAGTAATCATCCTGCAAGTCCACTGGCAGCAATCCACCACCTCTAGGGCCTCGAGACACATTTTTTGGATTGTTCATGTACCAATCTTTCGTGCATGGCACTCGAAAACTAAATCACTGCAAAGGCCACCTGGTGAGTAGGACAATCCAGGGTGCCCAAAAGGCCATTCAAAGTAAAAGAGCCCTACAACTCATTACAGCTCGCTTCAGCTGCAAACTAAAGCCTAGTCTGCAGTCGCAGGGCACATCGTCACAGACTAAGCAGGTATTGCTAAAAGCGGGGTTCCAATAATTGTGCAATCATGCCTGTCACAGTTGCAACCTCTTCAGCTCCATATCCTTCACTTGAGGTCCAAAGAACCGAGAGGTAGGAATCTCCTCTTCCTGCGGAGTTTCACTAAAATGCTCCTCCGGCACTTTGAGCTGGGCAAGCCGGTTCTCCTGGATGCGACGAAGCTTTACCATCTCCGAGCGGGTCTTTGCACGCAGCTTTTGCAGCTCCTGCCCTGCTCTTTGACGCTCCGCTTCTGTCGGCGCTGTCTGCATCTCCTCCGCCAGACTTCGGGCCTCGCCGGGTCGGAAAGGTCCCAGCTTGCAACGCCGGATGTACCCGTCGAGGGAGGTGAGGTCCGAAGGAAGCAAATCGCGGATTCCTGGCCCAGAACGCCCGTTGACGATGAGCTGCAAAGCGAGAGACTTCCCATCCACAAGTGTGTAAGGGCCAGGGCTTCGTTTCGAAGGCTCGGTGCAGAGCTTGAAAGGCGGATAGGGCAAGAGCTGGATCGGGAAGTTCGTGAGCGGGCACATCAAATGCTGGTGCGACCTCGTCCACCAACGCCTGTCGCTACCATCACCAACCTTGTTGACCCACCTGCTTTTAGATCCTCGTCGACCTTGCTTCCCCATCTTGGAGATGTTCTTTGTGGGCAGTGGCTGCACCTCGAAACATGTGTTATAATAGAATAGAATGTAATATAATGTAACATAATATAACATAATATAATATCATACGCCGGCCTCTAGAGCTTCGACGGAGCTGTCGAAGGTCGTTAGGCCCGGAGGCGGCCTGATGCTTTGCCTCAGGGTCATCTCGGCGTCTGACAGAGGTGCGATGGACATGGCAATAGGTGAAGGACAGGGTTTTCCCAAAGCTCGAGCCGTAGCCAATCCGGGGCCTGAGTAGTTGGAATAAGACCTTTTGGGGCAATATAGCTATAATATAGGGGCCTGAGCCAGTAGAATAGGGTTTTGGAGCCCATTATACTATACTTATACTAAGGAACCCAAAAGAGTATTGGTAAAGATTTTCGCCCCTAGCCCCTAGATTAATGTAGGGTGCTCGCACTCCCCA